CGCCGAAAAGCACTGCCCGGAAACATGTATGGGAAAAACTTTGCAACTGAGCATGTGCGAAGAGCACATGCCCCGGACTCTGGATGAATCAGAACTTAAGTACTGAGCATGTCTGCACGGGAGCCCGAGGGGTTCAAAAAGGAAGGTTGGGAAGTCGGGAACGGGCGAGTTGTGTTCTAAGCAGCCCCCTGGCGCGCCGTGATTGTTCATCTACCGCTTACTAATAAATTGACTTGTTATTTTACATTTGCTTTCTCAAATTGTCTTAAATTACTGCTACTAACCTATAACAGCCTAAAGAAAAGCAGTGTCTCAAACTGATTAGAATTCCTTTTTTGGGTAGATGGCTCTTTACGTAATGTATTCAGGCGCAGCTAATACAATAGGGATGTGAGTTTTGAGATGAATCAACAGATTTAGTGGAGAACAAAGGTGTGCTGAGAACAGATCGGTGGATCCTGGTAAGGAGCAGTCTTTGCTGTGCTGTTGTTAAGGTCCTACTGGAATTTTAGGACTCTTTTTTTTATGTTGTTAACCTTGTGAAAAACTTTACTTTTGGTTGAGGCTGGAATTTTCCATGCTTGCTTTGCCCAGAGGTAATTTTTTAAAAAAAATTTGAACAAATGCAGAGAGCAGTATCCCTGTGCATATTGCAATAAAGAACAGATGTTATCTAATACACCTATTGCTAGGGTATCAAAACATTTTGTATAAGTGAAAAATCACACCACTTCTGCCTGAGCAAGGTTTGATTTTTCCTTTTATTCCTTGGTGTAGCCACAATTGTTTCCTCTGTTTGTGAGGTTTTGACAAATTATTATTTGTCCTTGTTGAAAGAAGCCTTCTGCAAGAAGATGGCTCTTGCAGGATCTTCTGAGGAAGAGTTCAGATTTGCCGTGTCATTCTATGGCAAGAATTTCCACCACCTTCTGCTTTCTGAATGTGGTGTCTCCTGCCATTTCCAGGTTTTCATCCTCTCCTTATCTCCGGGTGCTAGGATGATGAGGGGGGGATGACCTCTTGCTCGGTGAAACACCACGGGTGCTCTGTCAGAGGTGGGACCAGCAGAAGCCTGCAGAGAATAGAGTTTCTAGCAACAACAGCTGCCCAGAATTGCCTGAGACCCAGCTACGAGAAGTAGCCTTACAGACCTCTGCAGGATTTCCCTCTCCTGGGCCCCCAAGACCACACCTTCCCTTCTTCCCTAACTATCCCTTCCCCCTGAATAAATAGACATATCCTTCCAACCTATCTTTCCAAGCCCCCTTATCAGAAACCCTTTGGATTCGATGTTCCCTAGCAGGAACCCACCCCTGTACCAGAACCTTCTGTATTTCCCTGTATATAAACTGTCTTCTTGGTTAATAAACTGCCATTTTGTGGGTCACATATTTTGTGTGTGTATCCCGTCTCCCAATGCAAAATGTGCCCTGAAGTCTTCCAGCAGGTTACCCCCAAACCTGCTAGAGTGCTCTCTCAGAAGTGAGGTAGTTTGAGGTTCCTAGATCAGTGTTGTGGAAATAGATCCAGTTGTAGAGGAGTTTACTGCCCTTTCCACTCCCATGGAGTAACGTGCAGTGGTCTTCCTTCTCTGACCATACAAAAGTCTGTATTGAAAAGAGTTGTTTTCAGCTGTATGCTTTCTCAAAAATAAAAATGTAGAGAGAGGGAAGTGGAACCAAAATGAAACTTTTTAGGATTTAAAAATGTGTGCATACATAGTCACATCAGCATAGTAGCTCTACCTTTTTCATTGTGTCCTGCAGAAATGTTTGCTCTGTTTATAGGATCAGTCTGTTGTATTTGTAAACTGCTTTTGAAAGCAGTTGAAGTGTACAGGTGGAAGCTGAGAGGAGTAAAGATGCCGAGAGCTGCACTTGGGCAGCTATATCAGATCAGTTTCCTCCAAAAAGAAATGGTTGCTCCTCCTTTTTAACCATGAATTCATATTAAGATGAAAGAGGTGCCACTCAGAGTTGTCTTAAAGCTCTTTTCCAGTTCCTTTTATGCTGTCATGTGTCTTAAAGATGCTGAACATTAAACCTGCTCTCAGTTTTCTAGTCATGCTAGTAAAATTATCGTTGTTTTGAGAGAGAATGTAGCAGTTGTCTTAAGAACAGTGGAATAGTTTGAGTCAGTATGATGCTTATTTTACATTCCTGCCCATAAGATAAATGTAAGTACAATGAGGGCATTAGTGTGAGAGCTCAATAATGTTATTTCCACATAGATAAGTCAAGAATATATTTGATTTTAATTATATGAAGTAGCATACTAATATAGGGGCCTGTGTTTTTAGAATCTATTTATAATTTTCAGGTAATCATTTCTGGCAGAATTATCCACAGACAGGAAAATGAGGCATGTGGCACCAGTGTTGCATTTTTAATTTTAGACAGCTGCTTCATGCTTTGAATTTCATTGCGCGTTCTATGTAGGATGTATGGACGAATTATGGTGTTTGTTCAAGTTTGAATCAGTCTTGAAGGAAGAGTTTCAGTTAATGGTTACTTATTGATTCTCTGAGATAATAGTGTGTTTGCTACAGATCATCAAAGGTGTTTTTAATAACCTGGCAATCTTCTTTTGTCTTACATATTTATCTCCTCTTCAGAGGCTCTTATTCTTGTTCCAATACTTAAATTATTGCACAACACTAATTGTTTTTCACTTGTTTTATAATATACCTGTTAATATTTAATTATTAAAACAAATTACTTTCTATAACATAGAATTATAGAATCGTTAAGGTTGGAAAAGATCTTTAAGATTGAGTCCAAACATAATCAAGTACTCCTTTATAACTTTGTAACTTGTTGTAATTTTACATTAGCTTGTCCATTTTTTTCCTGTTCTGCTTGCATCACACTGTAGCAAAAGGGAGAGAAATACCTTTTTGTTCCTTGTTTGATAAATCTGAGAGCTTCACTACAAGTGCTGTCTCCTGCTGCTGCTTTTCTCATGTTCCCTGTCTCTTTTCTATGCTGCAGTGGCAACTGAGGGATGACTCAATTTTTCTGAAGATCATTACATTGAAATAAGAATTTATTTGCTTGATCTTAGTTTTCTGAAAGCCAGCCATCAAAATTCTTATTCATGGTTTTAGGGATGTAAAAGACCTGCATGTCTAATTTTAAGCATCTCTTTATTTAAAACTCTTTTAGCTAATAGCTTTATCAAGTCACTTATTTGTGATTACTTATGTATATCTATCTGGGATGCTGTTTTATATTTAAGGAAAATGGTGCTCTACTTTGTTTCAGCTGGTAAACTTTGAGATTTATGTGAATGTGTCCGTGGAGAATGACTGGCAGGTTAAGCTTGACTTTTAAAAGAGGCTTATTGAGTTGAAGCACTAAAAAAGCATTGAGGGAGAAACTTTAATAGCTAGGTAAAATGATCTTACTCAAACTTATAGGTAATTGTTTTCCTTTGGGAGTAATTAGCTCCAGAAGCATCTTTACAAAAGGAAAGTATTGAAAATGGAGGGGGGTAGGATTTGCGCTGTGTTTTTTCCCAAGTATACCAGTGTGATGTATTCAAGTCGCAATTGAAGAAAATATTAAATAGGGGAGAGTTTGTTTCCTTTTATAATTGTGCTGAATTTGTGTTGCAATATTCCTTTTACAAGGAGGGAAACCACATGTTAACACTGTAATTTGTGTGATGCTTTTAAATTAACATCCCACTCTTATTTTTGTGCAACACATTTGTTTCCAAAAAATAGCTGCTACTGCTGTACTTCTAATAACATGGAAAATTCCAGTGCAGTAACAGGTCTTTGACTGGATGTGTTCCTTAGATAATGTGAACAAACTTTTTTCTTTAACTATTGAAATCAAATATATTTTATTTACATTGCTGAGAATAGCATGGTAGTTTCAGAAAGGCTTATATTTTAAGCTTACTCAGAAAATGTAAATGTAGTATAATCACTTATATATTTGCTGCAAGTTTCTTAAGAAAGTCAGACCACATAGTTCATAGAATGGTGTTAGTGAATGACTACCTGAAGCCAGAGCTGCTTGAAGAACCAGAGCAGCTTTTTGTCTACATCAGACTCCTTTTCTGTGACTGCACAAACCTGCTGTCCTATGTTTCTGGGTAAAGCAAGATAAAGTGTAGTAATTGGCTCATTCAGAATCGAGAAAATCAGGCTAGCTCTTATAATTTGCAGATTAAAGGAAACTTCAAAAGGATCATGTCTGCTCACTTTGAGAAGAACGACTCCATGACTAGAAACCACTGCAGGTTCTTAACAAATGGAGTTTAAAGGCCAAGTGTTACTAGGAGGGACTTGGTCCTGAGCTTATATTTAGTGTAATTAAGGCAGTTCTGTTTGAGACAATTTGGAAGTGTTTTTTTAGTGACTTCAGTCGATTTGTCTTAATCCAGAAGAAACTGATTCTGTAAAATAAAGACAAATGTGCCAGTTAGGATTTTCATATCTAAAGATACAATACTAATTTACATAAACATGTATTAAGTTAATGGCCAGGTACAATTTTTGCCTTTCTGATTAGCAAAGAGAAATAGAATTAATCAGAGGTCAGAACATAGCTGAACTATTTGAACAAGATTATTAAATGAAGATGACAGATGATTCTGGTGTGTATTCATGCTTCTTCACGATTCAAATTTTGTTTAAATCACTGCCACTTGATTCCCAGTCAGTATTTTCACTTGGTTTAATCCTGCCAGTATAAAACATAGGAAATCATTGTCACAGTTCTCCTTTTCCTGATTCATTTAATGATCCCTACCTTTCTATATGTACATACTATGTGTACATTTATACAAACTATAATATTTAAATAAATATTGTTACTAGGGCAAAATAAATCTTATATCTACAGCTGTGCAAGCAGTGTCTTAAGCATGTTTTAGCTATCATGGGACAAGAAATGCAGTTTTGTCATGTGCTTTTAATATCCTGCGCTGAACTTGAAAATAAAAGAAGCACAAAGCCATAGACTTCCTTAGAAACATGATCTGTAATTTGTTAGAAACAATTCTAATGTAGATATTTTTTCCTCCTAGGTTTTACCAAGAGACAGTACATCTAACACTTAACTTGGATCATCTCTTGTTCATCAGCTTGAAAATCATAACAGCCCCCAAAACTGACATTTGATCTGAAAGAAAAAACTGTGACAAATGGACAATATGTCTATTACTAACACGCCAACAAGTAATGATGCTTGTCTGAGCATTGTTCACAGCTTGATGTGCCATCGACAAGGTGGAGAGAGTGAAACTTTTGCAAAACGCTCAATTGAAAGTTTAGTTAAAAAGCTAAAGGAGAAAAAAGATGAATTGGATTTTTTGATTACAGCTATAACCACAAATGGAGCTCATCCTAGCAAGTGTGTTACAATACAGAGAACTTCAGGTTAGTACAAGTGAAAATCAGATGTTTTCCTCCTAGTGAAGCTGGAGCAAAAGTGAGTGACACAGGGTCCTAGAGTGTTGAGGAAGAGTAGCTCTTCTCTTGCATTTTGCCTTGCCCCCATTTGTAGGCATGTTTTGTGGCTGGAGTTGGACTGTTGCAGTAGTTGATTTTTTTTTTTTTTCCTTCCCAAAAGGAGCAGAAGGCATTGGATCAGCCATTCTCAATGAGTGTGTGTGTGGCAGTAAAAAGCAGGGTCATGTAACAAATCAGCTGTTTATCCTGGTATTTTCACTACAAGCTTCTGTTAGCCCTGTGTTGGTCAGAAATATAAAGACAGACCTATGATCCCTTGCTAAGAAGGTACTCCAAGGAGTCTACACTGAGGATTTATGTTAGCCTTATATCATCAGTGGGAGCCCCTGGTGGTCAAGTGGTTAAGGCGCAGCGCTGTCAACGCCGAGACCCGGGTTCGATTCCCGGTCAGGACACTCCCCGGGCAGATGGAGCTCGTTAGCCCTGTAAGGCAATCCATCTACGTCCTGAGGACCTCGCTGCCACCGTCCAAGCTCGCTTGGCCCCCGCAGATGAACCTTAGGATTAAAGGGTGGGCTCAGTTCCGCGCACACTGTGTCTCACCTAAAAAAATCCAATGCTCAGACTGGAAGGTGTAAAGACCTTCCCCGGTTCTTTGTTCGCGAAGACTAACCATTATATCATCAGTACTCAGTACCTGTATAGCTTGGGTTGCAATTTCCTTGTTCCAGGACAGATATGTTTGCTGACTAGCTTTCTGTCTACCCTAGAAGTGTTTTTGTTTATTTTGTTTTGAGTTTTTTAATTATTATTATTATAATGAATTGGCATTCTTCTACTTGTAAATTCTTTATAGTGTAGCTTGGGGCCTCATTCCTCTTCTGGGGCAAAGCTTCTTAGTCATCCGTGGTGGGGAAGGTGGCCATACATATTACATTAAGCATAAATTCTGCTTCTGCCATTTTGGATCTAGTATTTTTTTCTTAAGAATCAGTGTTGATTTAACTGTAGCAAAACCCCAATAGAAATTTATTTCTATTGAGTACAGAACTTGGCTAAACTGTACATCACCTTTTTTTTCCCCATATTTTGATGACCTTGTGTTGTTGTTTGTCCTCTTCCAGCTTTGCTCCTCACTAAGTAAAATGACATCTTGCTATTTTCCCAATCAACTTTTGTGTCTAACTTTTTAGGTGGCTGGTCGCAAGGGATTCCCTCATGTGATTTACGCTCGTCTTTGGAGATGGCCTGATCTACATAAAAATGAACTCAAGCATGTTAAATATTGTCAGTATGCTTTTGACTTAAAATGTGACAGTGTCTGTGTAAATCTTTACCATTATGAGCGTGTAGTCTCGCCTGGCATTGGTAAGTAGACTCTTGATTTAAAATGGAACAGTGGGAATAAAATGTAAAATGTTTTCCTTTTGAGTGTAGAATATATGAACCTAAATTAGAAACATTGACTTTTAATGATCTAATTATAAATTACTCTCATATGCTCTTGTCCATCTTCTGAATGGAATTGTTCTTTTACCTTTATTCCAAATTTGAAAGGACAGTTTGTGGCTTTTATTTGAGCCTTTCTGTTGGATTTGCACACAGTTCTTGCAGTTAATGCATATCCTAGGAATAATTTAGGATTGAGATTTGTGTTGTGATAAAGGGACTATAATATCTAGAGTCTGTAGTACTAATTTGTAAAGTTTATAAACTTAATGTTCAAACATTGTTGAAGATTGCTGAATATAATTTTCTATGCCCCCCTTTTCTTTTTCTCCTTTTTAAAGATCTCTCGGGACTGACACTACAGAGTTCTGATAAGTAGTTCTGTTTACTATTGCGTTTCTATGGGCACAAACTGTGTTAAACTCTTCAGTATGCTCACAGTTTATTCCTGTGTATTCCCTTAGGTGGGAATATAGAGAGCATATGAAAATGCATTTGTTTTGGAAAATCAGCTAAGTAGCATATAAGAGGCATGATAAATTCTCTAAATTGAGGCTTCAGCTCAGTTTGTCAGTATGTTCTGTTTTCATTGCTTACAACTTATAAGCCCCACTTAAAGAAAAAAAAAAACAACAAAAACCTCACTGTTGAATGCTGCTAATTAATAAAATAACCCAGACACCTAAAACTGTGTGCACCTGTATGATATGCTAAGTAATCAAATTGGGAATAATAGATGCTTATAATGTAATACGTAGTAAACAAGAAAATAGTAGAAATTCTGTCATTAATATGCAATTGAATGCAGGAGTTTAATATTCTTGTTGTCCCCGAAACTTGAGAGAAATTGGACATTAATTTTCCAATGAACATTATTCAGAAATTGTGAGACTGTGCAGCTGGTAACTGCTTTATTTCAAAACTGGATTTTTTTTCCTTCCAGAAGAAATTCATGGAGAAAGAAATTTGGGTAATCCAATAGTTTTAGCAAAAATGACTTAAAAAAGCACCCCAAATCATCCAGCAAACTGTTAACTTCACAAGCTTTATTTTGCATGCTCATCTCTGCTAATTGTTTACCTGTGTCTTCTGAAAAATGATCCTTTTGTACAGAATCAAAGCTTACTAGCCAGCAGTTAAATACATAAATATTTCCTTGTCATGTGTTTAGGGTTTGTATGGCCAGGTTTTGCTAGCAGAGGAACTACATGGGTGGCTTCTCTGAGAAGCTGCTAGAAGTGAAGCCGAATTTTTGCCCCAAAAAAGCACAGAGAAACTGCTTTAGAGATAAAATTTGTTTCTTTAAAGCAGGAGGTATTTTAATGCAACGCGTTGGAGAGTTCCCAGGTCATCCGGGACAGAGAACTCTGTCGAATACATTTAGCACAGGTCTTTTATACAGTCTTAGAGTATAGGATTACATCACAAACATGCATATTCATTAAATTGCAACATCTACTTGTAATATTCATATATAGGAGGAGTCTTTAATTTGGGGAGGTTTAGAGGTGGGAGTTCCTGTAGCCTTCATCGTGGGCAGTGGTCGTTTGCTCTTCTTCATCGCTGTACACTTTTGAACTTTCCTCAGATCTTTCCTAATTTGGATAGTTGGCAACTGTAGTAGGGTCAGGTTGACTTTTGGCCCGTTCTAAGATTTGCTGATGTTGTTATCTTTTTGTTTTATGTTTTAAATGTTCTATCTTGTCAAAATGTTCTATTCCTCAGTCAATTTATTACTTCTGTGGTTTCCTAATGCTAGGGTTTTGGAACTACTACAATTTTGTGTTTGAGTTAACCTTTTGTTTCTCAAAGACTGCCTCAAAGACTGCCTCAATTGAGTGGCTTCAGAAGCTTCCCCCATGTCCTGCAGAGCTAATGCAAACTGGCTCCAGGATGGACCCGCCACTGGCCAAGGCCGAGCCAATCAGGAATGATAGTAATGCCTCTGTGATAACATATTTAAGAAGGAAAAAAAGGTATTGGGCAGATGAAAATTGCAGACAGAGAAGAGCAGAGTGAGAACATGTGAACAACTCTGCAGACACCAAGGTCAGTGGAGAAGGATGGAGAGGAGATGCTCCAGGCTCCGGAGCTGAGGTTCCCCTGCAGCCTGTGGTGCAGACCATGGTGAAGCAGGCTGTCCCCCTGCAGCCCATGGAGGTCCATGGGGGTGCAGAGATCCACCTGCAGCCCATGCAAGAGACCCACACTGGAGCAGGTGGATGCCCAAAGGAAACTGTGACCCCATGGGAGGCCTGTGTTGGAGTAGGGTCCTGGCAGGGACCTGCTGACCCACAGAGAGAGGAGCTCACACAGGAACAGGTTTTCCTGGTAGGACTTGTTGCCCTGTGGGGGACCCACATTGGAACAGCTTGTTCCTGAAGGACTGCACCCCATGGAGAAGTTGACCCACTTGGCAGCAGTTTGTGAAGAACTATTGCCTGTGGGATGGACTCATGATGGAGTTGTTCATGGAGGACTGTCTTCCATGCTGGAGCAGGGGAAGGACTTCCTGACCAGCAGCAGAAACAATCTGTGATGAACTGACGATAACCCTTATTCCCTGTCTCCCTGCACCACTGAGAAGGAGTGAGGAGTGTGGGGGAAAGTGTTTTTAAGATTTATTTTACTTCTCACTTTCCTACTCTAATCCTGTTAGTAATAAATTTAATTAATATCCCCACTTCGAGTCTGTTTTGCCTGTGACAGTAATCAGTGAGTGATCTCTCCCTGTCCTTATCTCATGAACCCTTTGTTATATTTTCTCTCCTCTGTCCAGTGAGAGAGCGGCTTTGGTGGGTACTTGGTGTACAGCCAGGGTCAACGCACCACATCATGCTACTGTTTTTGCAGCAGGAAACAAAAAAATTGCTGTCAGATTTTAATATAGTAAAGGCTGCTTTAAAAATGAGCACAGGAGCTAATGTAGTGTAAGAGTGTTATTTGAAGATGCTCAATAGGATATTTATTTCTAAATTCTTGCAGTGACAATGGTAGTAGTTTCCTTACGCTGTATGTGGAAAATTCTGAATTAGTGGCTACATTGTTAAATATAGAGTAGCGTTATCTTTCTTTGAATGTGAATTTGATGTTTCTAGTCAATTTGAATGGGAGTTGCTTAAAATTACTTAAGAGATGCATGAAGTTTTTTATGTGCTATGTTCATGAATTATGTTTTTCATAGGAACTTTATTTGTGTTCTTGTTTGTATCCGAGGAATTTGTTTAACTACTACATTAACATATATTTAGGTGCTTGAAAAAAAGCATATTTTTCCCTTTTATTAACTGTGTCCAATCACACAGTGATGGACTAGAAAACAAAATGTTATTGGAGTCTACTACTGTGTGACTAAACTGCTTGTTTGATAGCAGTAAGCAAAATAAACAGTTTGCTTTTCTATTCAGTTATGCTTCAAAATTTCTTGCTGCTGTCTTGAAGTGTAATTTAGTGGAGTGCTTTAGCAATGTTTATCTCGATTAAATTCTCCCCCTCTGCTAGTTTTAACAGCATTATTGCTTGAAAGTAGTAGTGCAATTTGTAGTTAAATCCTGAAAATAGATTTACTTTGCATGTTAAACTGTTTGCTTCTTCACAGCTCCATCAAGCATGTTGGTGAAAGACGAATACGTTCATGACTACGAGGGGCAACCATCGTCTTCTGCTGAAGGTCATTCAGTCCAAACCATCCAGCATCCACCAAGTAACAGGGCATCTACAGAGCCTTATAGCACCCCAGCCATGTTAGCTCCTCCTGAGGTTAACACTACCAGCACCACTAATTTTCCCAACATTCCTGTGGCTTCAACAAGTAAGATCATCAAGAATATATGAAATATTAAGCTCTGAAAATGTGAAAGCTCAAAGATAGCCACTGATTTTTGGCAAAGTAGATCTTGCATTGGAACTGTGCTGCTGCTACACTACACTGGTAAAAGCATGTGGCAATATGATCTAGGCAGTCTTGTAAGTGTTAATATAAGGTTTTAACTTGGAGCATAATTTGAGTAACTTCATGGTGGCCCAGTCTTTTTTCAATGAGATTGACACTACATGAGTATTACAAGACTTGGATATGCCAAAGGTTCAGTGACACAACATTAAAACAATTGACCACTAACAAAAAATTATGACTATTATTTGAATAATTACTGTAGAAATGGGAGAATTTTATTATTTTATTGCAACAGCAAACAGGATAACAAAGTGATATACCATAAGGTAGCAGTATTGAGATGTTGTAAGGCAATTATTTAGTGTTCCACAGCTGACAAAATGAATGTTCCAGTTTGAACTTGATTATTTTTAAAATGGCCCATTGTACTACCAAAGTGACAACCCTAATTAATATTTTCATGAGTCCATGGAAGTGCTGCATTGAAGTTTTTATTACTTTTTTGTGTGTATTTGGTATGAGTGGAAGAGTCTGGTTTACCAACACCAAACCTCACACTTCACTCCAACAGGACAGTAAAAGCATTATGTGCGCAGTGTCCTGCAGCCCTAATGTAGGGAAACCATGAAGTTTGGAGGGGTTTTGCATACTCATTGTCTCAAAGATGCGTAACTATAATGGATTTCACGTTATCAAATTTGAATTATGGTGGCATGGTGTTTTGATAACGTTCTTTAATTTTAACTGACAACTTCTTTGCTAAAACTAATGGTTTTGCAAAGCTGAGATATGTCTGTCTCCAGCAGTTTATTGTATTGCTTTTGCACAACAGTTGTCAATAACCTTTTCTCGTCAGTGTAATAATTGTTGGAGTCAAGTGGACAAGAAAAAAAGGTCATTTTTAAGTTTTAGTTCAAGTTCTCAATGTAATAAATTCTACTAGCCCACATCAGTTTGAGAGTGCAAGTGTACTTGTGAAACTGCTCATCAGTTTAGTGTTAATGGCTGAGCTGAAGCCTTTTAAAATCAAATTCTGTTAACCTGTTCTAAAATATCTGTAGTGTTACTTTAAAACTTAAATAATTCTTGAAATACTTATTTGGGAGGAAAAAAACCCAGCAACTTTCTCAGGAAGGTGTCCAGAGATGTATGCAGCTCTATTCAAGAACTGTTTATAAAAATAAAATATTGTTCAGTATGTTTTGGAGGAACATAAATGTAAATGAATGTTCTCCTTAGGGAACAGTAGTTATAACATGCTGAAAATAAGCAACTTATTGGACCTGCTTGCTGGTCTGTTTGGATTCATACCAAATCTACTCCAGCTATGTTATTCAGTAAAACTGTGACATGTCTTCTTTCCTTTCAAACTGAAAAATGTGATGTGAACAAAATAAAGATGCGCTTGATAAACAGAGTTCTCTGCATACTTCTACTCCTAAAATATTAAGGGTGTCAGAGTCAAAATTAGCTGCTACAAAGCATCTTGCTTCAAGTTTCCTAAGACACTCTGGTGGGTGGGAAAAAAAATACTGAAACCAGACTTGTAGGAACTGTGTATTGCAGTGCCCTTAGTTGGGAGTATTTTCGTGCCCAGTAGTGCTGAGGTCTTCTTAATTAAAATTTTGGAACGTTCATGAATAGGTAGTGTGTTCTTTTACCAGGTCAACCTACCAGTATATTGACAGGTAGCCATAGTGATGGACTCTTACAGATTGCTTCAGGGCCTCAGCCAGGAACTCAGCAGAATGGGTTTACAGCTCAGACAGCTACTTACCATCACAGTGAGTATATACATATGTGCACTCTTCTTAGTTTTCTAAAACCAGTTTCCAAATGTCAGGAGAAATAGAGGATTAAAAGTGAGATGTGGAAAAAAAAATCCCTTAAAAACCAACCACTCCTTTCTTTTTCTAGATAGTACTACAACTTGGACTGGAAATCGGACGGCAGCCTACACACCTACCATACCTCACCACCAGAATGGCCATCTTCAGCATCATCCACCTATGCATCCTGGGCATTACTGTAAGTAGTGCAGATTTCCAGATGACTTCATTATCAGTTTTGTTGAATGGTGGGGGTTCACTTGTGATTACTGTTTACCCTCAAATCCTTTTTTGTTTTATATATATATTACAGAACTACCATTACTGTGTTTAGTATTTTCTGACAGTTAAGTATAAGAGCCTGATGGACTTTGCTCTGTTAAAGCATCAGAGATTAGAAATTCAGATAGCTATAGGGATAACATCTATATTATATATGTCTTACTATACCTAACAAAACTAGCATTTCCTTTCTAAACCTCTGGTTTTAAGGCTTTGCAATCCTGTACTAAGTATTTCCTTTGCAGAAAAGGCAGTTGATTCAGAATGTGTTGTTTGCATATTTTTCTTTTAAAACTTGGAAGCTCTTGACCATTTTTATTTTCTAGAAATTTGAAGTCATGCTAAGATTTGGAAGATGTGTGTCCATGTACACCAAGCGGTTTAAAAGAACTTTGTGAAAGCTCGTGCAGTAAAGTACTTGTCAATAAACTGGTCTTGCCACAGTCTGATTCACGAGTACATTCGTCACACAAACTTGACAATTTTTTTCATCTATGAAATAGGATGACAATCTCTTGTTTTAAGGCACAGGAGATGGGAAGGAAAAAAAAGTGATCAAACTGATAGTGTAAGTTTCTAGCACAGTATATGTATTATAAGAGTATAGTAGGGAAAAAACCCACCCAAATTAAATTTTTTCTACATTTTGTGTCAAAAAGCTAGAACAGTTCTTTGTTTTCTAATTTAGTACTTAACCACATCACCTGTTTGCAACAGTTGTGGTTAGCAGAGGGGAGAATATACTGTGAGTTAATATTAGAGTGACTTTTCAACTTATCTCTATCAAAAAAATTGTGGTTTAGATACAGTTATTAGGTTTCATTATTTTGTTCTTTTAGGATCCCACTTTATCTGTCCTCTAGTTTGTCAGAAATACCAGGATGTAAAAAAACTTTAGTGGTGTTGTAGATACTCTATAAATGTTTCTCAGTGCACATATCTTTCCATAATTAATATTTGTAACTGGCTGGTGATACTACATAGAGCTTTTTGTGGCTACTGCCATTTCTCATTTTAGAAAGTTGCATGTTTTGACTCCTACCAATGTTGTGCTTGTTTTGACATCTTGTTGCAAAAGCTGCTCTTACTTATAATACTATGTTTAAGTCTTTCCTCCTTGTTCTCTGCTGCCTGTAAGGGACCTAGTTCATAGAAGTTGAGAGACTAAACTGACTGATATCAAGACTGTATTCATTGTATTTTTTTTTCTTAGAAAATGTGTTCTCTAGGGCTTCTTTCCATCTTCAGTGAGTGTTTCTTATGGTCCATTCCACAGTATGCTGGGCAACTTGTTCTGTGATTGATGAAACTAATTGTAATGGGTTTGCCAACCAACCAGCCCCCTGCCAGAGCTGAAAGTACTTTTTTCCAGGTGAATTTCCAGAGAAAAAGCCAATCAAAAGTTTTAGTAATGCCTCTGCCAATTACATATTTAAGGAAACAGAAGAGAAAGTTGTGGCGCAGAAGAAAATGGAAGAGCCAGCATAACAACTGGCCCTGTTGGGGGCCTCCCCACCCTGGGCTGAGTCTGGCCTGGACAAGGGGGATCAGGCCCCCCTTCTCTCCTGTAACAGAGTAGAGAAAAAAAACTTTGGAGAAGGACTGCCTGGACAAGAAATGCGGCAGAAGGAATTCCAGGCAGAAAGAGAGATAACAGAACTTCCAAGGTCAAAGCTAGCAGCCGGAGAAAAACCGCGAAGGGAGGGGATCGCCTTCTCTCCCCCTCTCTCTCTCTCTCTCCCTTCAGCAGGGAAGAGACTTAAAACTAAAAATCCCTGCCATCTGTGGAAGATTGTCGGGGAGCAGAAAACTCCCCTCTGCAGCTCATGAAGGAGCCCACACCAAAGCAGAGTGCATGAAGTAGGTGTGACTCCATGGGAGGCCTAAAATGAAACAGAGTCCTGCCGGAGACCTGTGGCCCATAGAGAGAGAGCTGGAGCGAGACAGCCTGGGTAGGATGTTGTGATCTCAGTGAGGGATCCATGCTGGTGCTGCTGAATTTGTGACCCTGAGGGACAACAGAGAATGGAAGGCCTGTTGTCCGAGAGATGGACCCACGTCGGAGAGGTCTATCAAAAACTGTTTTCCCGTGCGAAGGGACCCCACAGGAAACAGGGGTGGACTCAAAAACCATTATCCCTTGTGACCGTGTGGTGAAGATCCACGGCAGGCAAGTGTCTCCTTGCAGTCCATGGAAGACCCTACACGGCCTGGGTAACCCCCCAGCCTCCAGTCTTAGCCCCAGGACCTGAACAAGAAAATTGGCTCCAGAAAGGTGCTGCTATACATTTGTAAGGTTCCCCTTTCTTGGCACATAATGTTCTAACTTGCCTACTTGAAGGGTCATCGGTGTTTGAGGCATAGCAACACATTACCTCCTTACTGCTCAGGCTTCTGCACATTGATGTGTGCTTTATTAAAAAAGACAAACCCACGTTCATTGTAGTATGTAGTATTTTTCTGTGCTAGCAGACATGTCTTCGTTTATCTGAACTTGTTTATGTGAATGTGCACTCTTAGTTTGAATAACAAATGCAGTTGTAGAAGTCCAATTGATTGTCTGAATGGGTTTGTTGGGTTTTTTTGTGACTTTCAGTCCGTTAATTGTATATATTCTTTAGCTCCAGATTATTGGTGTTCAATCGCATATTTTGAAATGGACGTGCAAGTCGGAGAAACATTTAAGGTCCCTTCAAGCTGTCCAGTTGTTACTGTTGATGGATATGTGGATCCTTCTGGAGGAGATCATTTTTGCCTGGGCCAACTTTCCAATGTGCATAGAACAGAAGCCATTGAGAGAGCAAGGTATTCTGCAGATCTCAAAAGCTCCAGATGTCTGTGGTATTTGATAATTTGTTTTGCCTTCAGTGTGTGCCTCCCTTTTGAAATCACAAGTATGGTATGCTTCTTTGAACTGAATTAACTATAGCAGAGTATATCTTTCTAGGCCACTCCTGTAATGCATTCAAAATGTGAACTATGTGACAAAGCCCTTCAGTGCTTTGCAGTAGGGTGTTGCTTTTCATTGCTTTTAAAGGCTGTGCCTTCAAGGATAAAATTAGCAACTCGCACCATTATATATGCAAACTGAATATTAGTTTTTCACACCAGAGAACGATGTGAGAATAACTGCTATATATAGATTTGTCAAAGGAACAAAGGAAGATTGAGGGAGAGCTAGTTGGATTTTCATTTATTCTCACCATGCACGTGCTACACTTTGTGGAACTGAAGCAATCTTGCAATTTTTTTTTCCCCTCCTTTGAAACAAAAAGGAAGAAAATGATTCCATGTCTTCAGAAATGTTGCATTATGACAATCAAAATGTTAGATTGCTGTAATGTGATCCAAACAAACATACAGTTCTGCATTAAAATGTGGCTTTGTATATGTACTTGAGTGACTTTCTATACTAGAATACTTGTGGGATTTTACACTGTACAGAACTGAATGTGTTTAGTATCCCAATTCTGTATTGTTGTGTGTTGAATGTGGTAGTTGCAACTCTAATATCCTTGCTTCTGCATTCTGTTTCCCATAGATGGTAATACAGATGGTTTTATACTTGTATGAGTATATGAGTATACTTGTATTTAGTCCTTGTATGACTGGAGTGCTATAGAGAACTGTATGGTTTATTTAGCAAAGGTCTGATTTATAGTATGTATACACAGGTGCATTGGATCTATTTTTCTTTTTAATGTTGCACATAGGTAAAGGGGTGCAGTTGGAGTGCAAAGGAGAAGGTGATGTGTGGGTTAGATGCCTCAGTTGTTATAAGTTACTTCTTTTCTTGAATTTTGAAGACGGCAAAAATACCTGCAGGACAAAGAAATATAGCAAGAGTTTTTTATTACAGTGCTGGTTATCCATTTCCAGCACTGGGTGCACCTCTGGATCATACAAAGAGCACACACATTGTTTGAAAACTGCGCTTTTTGTACCCTCTCGATATCAGTTGTTGAATATTCATTCATTGTCCGTTTGTTGCCTTAAAAGGTAATTTCCCTGCTTTGGAGGTGGGTGTTACCTTTTGGCTGGTTGTAACTTATCTCCCCTGGGCTCGTACAGGGGGGTCTTGCATCATCCCCACATTGCAAGGCATGGAGGGCCTCTCTTTGTATCCACATGGCACAGAGGAATACATTTTTATTTATAATTTGTTCCCTGTTCCCAGCCACAAAAGATTCCCTGGTGTTAGGTCCAGACAGGACCCTTCACCTTACAGACTCCACGGTACGCCTATAAGTTAGTAAATATGCAGAAATAGTTCTTTTGTTAGTACTCTCTGTTTAATTTGCTTGGAATAAAACCGGTGCCTTTACTTATCACATCAGTGACCATGCGGTCTTCGTTCAGAGTTACTACCTGGATAGAGAAGCAGGGCGTGCACCAGGGGATACAGTTCACAAGATTTACCCAAGTGCATATATAAAGGTTGGTTTGATGTTCCTAGATGAAAATTGTAGGGAAAATAGCATATTTTTGGGCCTTGTAAATGTTAGGGAAGCTATGAGCCACTAAAATAAATATAACTTGACTTTAAAAAACCCTAAAAATTTCTGTTTGACAAATCATTAAAGATGATTTTTTTAAACTGAAAGTGTCATCTAGATACTATGAAAGTAACAGATTTAAATTAATTGCTACTAAAATCTTTAGCATAGGTTATCTGTTTCTTTACTTTCTCGATTGTGATAAATTGAGACCACAAAGGATCAAAATTCGATTAAAATTTATTGATTATAGCAAGTAGAATATGAGCAAAATGCAGCGCTGGACGGCAGGGGAGTCTGCGCTCCGCCAACTGCCGTATTTGAGCAGTTTAAACAGTTCCCTTTTATACATCTTTACTTCCGTTGTTTGTGAAATAGTGGAGGTATTCGGTGTATGCTTCAGTTATTGTTAGGGGGTCGC